GGGTAGATACTGCAAGTTCGCAAAAACATGATGAACAAGTGGGATAGAAGAGTGGGATTTGGGAAGTACAAACTGGCGCTTGTCTTTTATTGCAGTAAAGCGAGCTTGCTAACGATCAGCAGTCTCCTGCATCAAGCTTGAGAAGTAATGGAACAATTGCTACATAATGATTGAAAAATAAAGGTGCAATTGACAAATTATATTTATTTCTATTTCTCTCAAAGCAACCAAAAAGTTACCACGCTTTTCTTTCAGAGGGGAGAGTCAGCTTTAGAAATTATTTTTATTAAAGTAAAATGGCTTGTGGTCAATAAGAAAGTTATTCACATGTGATGGAAAAACTATTTCCCTGTATTCCACATAACTGAAGACTTATTATCGAGTGTCAGTATAAATAAAACAAAACATTTTGTTTATCTTGAAGTTCGGGTAGTCAGCCGCGTGAATATGGAGTCAAAAACCAAAATTTAAGACTAGTTCTCTCTCAATTATTAGGGTCACAGTGACAAAAACACTGACCCTAGTAATGTAGACAGAGCTAGGCTCCGAAACGTTGGTTGTTTGATTCAACATTGACGTGGAAAGATTGACCGAGACAATTTTATAACATTCATGTGCAGTAAAAGTTTCAAATCTTTCAGTTATCACAGAAAATTGTCACATTCTGTTTCCTCTGGTATTAATTCTTTCTGCTCACACCAATTTTATGATAAATCGTGCCATTCACTTCAGACACACTTTCGGATTACCACTTAAATAGGACAGTTATTTTTTTAATGCAGAAACAACAACTACATCTCTTAATCCTGGCACTTTACTTACAGCCATCACCAGATCTGTAACCAGCATATACGTTTAGAGACGGAAAGATAACATCTGAATTCCCACTCAATATTCCCAACTACATGTCATAAAGAACGGTTAATAGCGGTGCTTTACGTCTATGCTGGCGATAAACCAGAATCCTCTTACAGTACTGTGTGTGTCGGCGATCTGGGAAGGAAGCCAACGTAATTTGGGATAAAAGCGTTAAAAAGTTAATTAGAACGATCCCCATTCACGAAAATAAGTGAACGGGCTGCATTGTGCTAAGCCAAAATTTTATTCTATGTGAAATAAATTTTCTGTTTTGTGATATACGTTAATCGAACGAGAAATATCGAAAGGAACGCACAGTACACTTTATGTGGGAAACCTCTCAGTAAAAAACCAGCTAAAGAACGATGTCGCTGATGGGAGTATAATATTAAAATTTTATATACAGGCTTTTACCGGTTAATGGTACCAAAGCTCAGTGGTTTGGCTCTGTTAAAATTCTGCAGAGTCTTCAGTTTCTGATATTAAATTATTAGTTAACCATATCTCAGTTTTATATTACGAAAACCTGTAAGGCACTTGGGTAGTCATTAAAGTGGAAGGACTCCTACGCGGTCCGTGTATCTGTCTATTTGCAATTACAATGAAATATCCCTCCTCATCCGATGACGCTATTTTAATTAAATGCAACGTTTACTGGTACTACTAAAAATTATCACTGCAACCGAATTTCCATTAAAACTAAATAGCGAAATGTAATTTCAGAGAAAGGGCCTACAAACATTTTATCTCTGTTTTGAGAAATATTGTTTGTTCCAAAAATTGCTCCAAGCTAAATTTGCGGTTGTTAATTGTGAGAAATTTGTGTGAATTTCCTTCATATACTATGCTGTAAATAATGAAGTGGACATCTTGTGAATGTGGGATGTTGTACAACTAGAAAGGAAGCTTGTTTATTTTTTATGTATTGATTTTTCACAGTAGCTCCTGGTCTCGGTATGATATGGAGAGCAAAATAATGCCCTGGCAAGCAAGCAGAGTTAATTAAAACGACAGAGTGTTGTTTGATTATGCCCCTGAGGCATCGGAGAAAGAAATGCTAATAAAGAGCACATAATATCCTTACGGTGATACGTTAGAGAATAAATACATTAAAAGACCGAGACAAATAACCACTGAAATTAACACATGAACAAGCCCTTTTTTAAAATACCAAAACAAAACATTTTTCAGCTTTTCTTTCTTGATAGCAAAATTATAAAAAAAATTCCACATCTTTAAAATTACTCAATTTATCTATACAATGATATATAAGGATATCTCAGCAAATTATTCGCGTATAATATTAATACTAGTGACTATATTATTCATTATGGGGTATATGAAATATGATACTGTTACAAGAAACTATACAAGTTTCCACTATTCTTTGACTTCTTTTACATGAAATATCCCGTCAACTACTTACGGCAACCAATTTCCTTCAAACGTTTACCAGAAACTGTATATTAATCACTACATAATTTAGTGAGAATTTTTATGCCTTTAAATAAAAAGTTCTTTGGATATTTTCCATCGTCTAGTAAAATAATAAAATATAAAACGACGTTTCGGAGATGGGGCTCTATCTCCGTCTTCAGGAATCTACTCTGTTGAGCCCAATAGGTAGGGATTAACTCTATCTGTTACTTAAGTGCACATGAACTATTATCCCATAACAAACTTCTAAATTTAGTTTTTATTTAAATAATATATTCTTACTTTTAAACATGAAATGACTTACTCTGAACTACTTCTAAGAAATATGAGACCTGTATTAATAATTTATGTTTCTTATTGACTTTCCTAGTTACATATATAATTGCTGTCTGTCGTGAAAATTAAATTATATAGTTTTAACTTTATTACGTTCATTTTTAATTATACAATGGTTTCTCTTTATATGCAAGGAAGCAGGCCTGTTTGATGTCGGGAAAGCAGAAAATCGCTGCTATATATGTTGTATGATGTATTATATTCATACGGTACATGGATAATGCACAAAGGTATATCGCAAACAGCCTAGTTTTTATTCAGAAATAACTCATATTATTGTTGCAATTCGTATAGCAGTTTTATTAATAAAATTCAACTCTGTAACATGAAGCGTGTATTTTAATAGGGAGAGAATGCAGAAGAAATCCTGAACATGTTCATTTGAAATAAAACGTAGAGAGATTCCAGGCGCAGAGAACCAAATTATTTTGAGTTTTACGTGGATACAAAATGCAGAATCTAATCCCGTCCATTCATCTGTAGCTTGCCTGTTCCATGACCCAAACGACTTGACAAATTTCAGCGAAATACTGACATCGTTTAACGCAAAGCGCAATTGGCTCTACAACGCACTAATGCAACGTAGGCAACGAAGTATCCATTGTCTGTATTAACTTTGTTTGCTACATATTTCAGGCTCTTTTTGGCTACTGAGACTATAACTGTCTCGATGGCTGTGGGCATTCGCGACTGTTGTAAAGTGTAACTTCACGAAAGTTTCGATTGGCTTTGTCAGTATCCTAATATAACGAGTGAAACAAAACCTTAAAAACGCACAGAGAATTGTGTATTTTTTTAAATGAAGTACTCCTTTACACTTTTGTATTACATTTGTATTGTAAGTAACTTTTAAGTTAACACGGACCACATTTTGAAACGCGTAATATCTTTGAACTAAAAAGAGGTAAGTTATCGATCTTAAAGTAATCGAGATCAGTGAATTAGTAGAGTTTCGTGAAGTAATAAACTTTAATATTAGGAATAATCAGGAAATTCCTTCATTAGTTAAACTAACTTCTAACTGCTCAAGGCAGACCCAGAACGAAGGGAATTAAAGTTTCTAATCTCCATTAAATAACGATTATAATTTAATAAAATAAATTTTATTTTGAGGTTATATAAAGACGGATTTTTCCTAAATACTGATTAAGAAAGATAAGATACTGTCTTTTTTCTAACTATAACGTGGAAATATACAATTTACTATTAAAATCACGACTCACAGATTGAGGAACAATGCCATAAAGGTTCACCTTAATTAATTTTAATAGAGTTTTATGTATGAAATTTGTCATTACCGTTTATTCTATTAATGCGTAGATTTATTCTAGCCAACGTTTCGGAGACCCTTACTCTCTCCATGTTCGAAATGAAGTGCCTATGTAGTGGCTCCTATCGATATTTGAAGGCAAAGTCCACCGGTCGGTTGGGACTTTTCGGCGGAACCCGGTGGAATGATTAGGACGTGAAGAAAACCGCATGACAGGTGCATCACGATGGAACTGAGAGTAGGAGTGGGAGAACTAAGGGGAAAAGAGGACAAAAAGGAAGAGAAGAACGTGAAAATAAGGGAGGCTAAAGGTCTCTGTTATTTGTCCCACATCCTTTTGACTACAGCTTGACGAATTCCACGGGTCAGTTCCAACCGACCTTTCTGCCTAAAATAAAAGTCGGCCGTGCCCATCGGGTAGCCATTTCGCTTTTTCCGGGTCAAAGACTGAGACAGTGATGATAGAGGGTGAGCGGAATCTCACGCGACCCATTTCGGACACACGTGCTCTTCGTCAAGAAATAAATTACATTTAAATTAGAATACAAAGCACAGCTTTATATTAGTGCTGGAAATGTCACCCCGCGTTCGGCGATGCATGATTCAACTCTTTTGCTTGTGTTCGATCACTCTGTACGGCACGTCTGAAATACGTCATACATCTTTTCAGTCACATCGGTCATAAATGGAATTCAGGAACAGCCGTTAAAGTAATAATTATCACTGGGATACTGGGAACGACCCGTTCTTCAAGTGCCTGAGCACTGCGGGTCACAACTTTTTTCGTTGGCTTCACCTGATAGACATTCGGTAGGACTCCTTGGACGAGAGATCGGCCCGTCGCAAGGCCTCTACCTGTACACAGGACAGCATAACACAGAAAAGTACAGACAAACATCCATGGCTTGATTGGGATTTGAACCCATGGTCGCAGCGAAGTTTATGGAAATGTTAAATTAAACTAAAGGACACACAATCACGTCTTAAACTACGGAAAATAATTCAATCACGTGCCTGAATAAACATGATCGCTATGAAAACATCATAGTTACGTTGGAAGGAAACGAGCGTGAAAAGATAAGCAATTTTCTGGGCTTACCATGGACATCCACATCTACCCAGGCTAGCATGGGTTCTTCAAGAGCATCATTCATGGTACGGCATTCATATTTCGCACCCAGGTCACCCCGCCCAAGTTTCAGTTGAACCTTGTTCCTTGCTGTGCCCGGAGTGTTCGCTCCATTGTCTGAGCTGTATTCACCTGCAACAAAGCAATCTTACATTTTATTCAATGATAATTGTGGATTATAATGTATGTATCGGAACATTTCAATTTTGTTTTGTTAAAGTGACAATTAATCTGAATAGTGATAACGTTAGGTACACGGTGGAAGACAGCAATTATTCGAAAGACGCTTCTCAACACTTACTTCCACACAACTGGTTTAAGAATTCGGCCTCTTAGTTTCTTCATAACACACTATTTAAAGACAAGAAGGGAATTGTGTAACTTTTAAGTCCCGGAACCATGCACTAGAACTACTGAAAACATAGTTTGTGTCATTGAAATCTTATTCATATTACTGTATATTACTGGGTTCCAATGCTGGATTTAATGAAAAACACTTACTATAGACTTAAAAGAAAGAAACCTTTTCAAATATGTGTTTGTGGAAACTGTCTTATACCACGGCCGTATGCAGTACTTAGGGGCGGTTGGAGGATTTCTCCATTCTTGGCACGGCCATGTAATATTTCTTTTTCAATGTCTTCTACTTCCATTCTTTTCATCGAATCCACTCTATGGTTGGCTAGACCTCCCTCCCCTCACTGGACCCTAACGCCCTCATTTCTCCGCTTGTGTGTGTCCTTTCTCATCTCCGTAATGGTGAGGAACCAAACGTTAATTGCGAATCTAAATTAAAAATAGTAGCACTCAATGATTATAAGACTTCTCTATCATTTCCTTTCTAACCTTTATTGTATCTTTTCAAGAACTAGAAAAGTTAAAAGTTTTAAAATAAGACACTGTGCGAATAAAATATTTTCCTTACAGTAATTTATCATAATACATCGTAAATTGTGCTTATTCTTAGGACCAATATCAAACGTTGACCGTGTTTAGAGTTGATTACATTTTACAAATAACGAAAGTTTTGTGCATTTCCACAAGATTGATTTCCCGAATGAAGATTGAATATGAACATTTGTAGTATTGCGCTGTGGTAATCGTGCCAAGTAGAATCTGATCCACTAGGCGGGAATAAAGAATGTGAACGGCATGTAAGTAACTGACTATTCACCTACCTTGCTGGAATTCTGAATGGCATACAGATCGCTAATACTAAGTACCTATTGAATTCGCAGAAAAAATCAATTAACCATATATTTATGTACAACTGCAACTTTAGTGTACTACGAATACCAAACACTGTTTCCCATAGCACCATCGACGTAGAGACTAATTATAATTAATCGTAATTCATGCCTGACCCTTAAAACAAATATACTGGAAGTTAAAAGGCAGGTGTAATACAACTTTAGCTGGTAATAAAAAATCTGAGATGAGTTTTAGCCACATGTAAACTTGCTTTCTGCTTTTGACAGGAACAAGAAAGACTGCTGGCTGTATCACTTTAAGTATTTGAATGACAGGAAATTTAAAAGAAACACGCTGGAAATATCTGTTCCTAGATACACAGTTAAACTGATGTGTAATGATTAAATTATAAGTTTAACTATTAATTTATTTCATGTATTCTATAATTCAAATTTTCTTTTCTAATGTCAATACTGCTTTTCTAGAAAAGCAGAATCCAATGTGCGTTGAAATAGAAGATAGTGCATACGTCATTTTACATTGTGGTAGAACTGCATGTTTTAGAACAATTTTAAAATATAGGAAATTTTACGAAGAAAATACCATTAAGGTAATTATAAATTATCCCGGTCATATCGGAAACCACTTGTTCAGAGTACGAGGAAAATTTTAGAGGCATGTAAAAAATCAGAGTTTGTTCTCACAAGAACGAGTGATGGAGAGAATGGATTAGGCGAAGGAAATAAATGTATTAAAGTTCCACGAATACACGTGGTACGGTCTTAATATATTATTATACGTACAACTAAATACATTAAGTAGGTCTATATAAAACACATGTTCCAATTGCCTGCCACTAATCATATCGAGAAAGGAAGGGTGGACTGTGTCGACCTGGAATTCATACAACACCGTTCAGTGCAAGTTTAGCGCAGATGTCACACTGATTACAGAAAAGTTCATATAATGCCTCAAGACATCGCATGTCCCCTGCTCCTAATATGACTTTCCTCTGCAGCTCTTATGGGTAAGATCCAGGGCTGAGATAATGTTTAAACTTTATGGTAACGCAGGTCTTCTAGGACCAGGGTCTCTGTATACTAGACTTCCGTGCCAAAGGCTCCATCGCAGTATCACAGGAGTCCCCCATGGCCATGCAGTGCCACCAAACCGGTTGGAAATCCAAAAGCGCATTTGCCCCCGCTTCTCATTCTGGGGGAACGATTTGTGGTTGCCGATTAGGCGAAACAGAGTGAGAGAGATGGTGGGCGGAGGATTAAAGTGAATCATGATCCAAAAGCGGTGATTTTCACAGGGGAAAGAGAGAGTTTAACGTGGCAGGACCATGCTACTGCCTGGATACCGCGGCGGAGGCTAATCTCCTACACTTTACCCATTCCGCAGTAAACGCTTAATTTGGGTTTAATTCACGGTCCTTTACTATTACAAAAGGAAATGTGGAAAGCCGGGGAACAAAAAAGGATTCCCACTTATATATTTTATTATCTTTATATACGGCCTATGCACATCGCTGTTTTCCTGGACGTGAGCCAATAGCACCTCACGTATCATCGTCAACTAACGTCTTTTTGAACCTTAACTGCGTTACAGTATTCAAAAATCCTTACAGAATAATGGGAAATTCGGAAATTACTGCCTCTTACGCAGCTATCAGAAAATTCATGGTTCCATTACTCATTGGTTTTTCCTTACAATCGTTAACTAACTACATAGAGCAGGGTCCTTTTTCAACATCTAACAATTGATTAGATCGTCAAGAAATTCCCCGCCATTTATGGAACCTGAACGCTTATTACCGAGTTCCGTCAGAATACTACAAGTTGCTCCTGTGAGCCAAATAAGTCCAACCTACAAACTTCCACCATATTTAACAAGTTCACAAATACGCCGAGGCCTTCGAAATCTCTCTTATCATCAGTCTTTCCGAATATCTATTAAAACATTTTCAGTGTGTGCAAATAATTAATTACAGATCCTTTACTGCTAGGCTATCCGCTTCGCGAAAACTTAGAAACAGGCCATCCAGCCCCCGAATAAAAATAGTAATGTCCACCCCTGTTTCATGGGAATCCACCACATGACCACTACATTGAATAATTTGACAAGGAATGAGATTTCAACCACTTTTCATTTGGTATGACATTTATAAAGTGTATCGATTCCTACGATACTGTGACATTACTTTCATTCCAGATTTTATAAAATACTATAATGAATTCAATTAAAAGAATATAATCAAACGGACATGCATTTCGACAGAAGTGATGGGACTAATAACTGATAAATATACGTGCAACATAATAAAACTATTTCATTCCCATTATCCTTAATTTGCATGATCCATAAAACATATGACTTTACCCTCGCCATATCTGTTTAGTTCCTGAATGATAATTTCTGGACCAGTTAACCGAATTTCGTAAAATTTCGTATACCAAGTATCTTGTTAAACTAGACAAAATTACGTACTTTAGACTGCTATATACTCGTATATTGTAATAAAATTATTACTTAAGGATTATAAGATTTCAACCACAACTTATTAAGGCGGTGCAAAACTGTAAGAGACATTATAATTACGTCAAGGTAACATAAGCTATTAAACATTTGCACAGGGTCCACGCTAATTCAGAGTCGCGAAATGGTACAGATTAAGCCACGAGATAACACGTAGTCTACGTATCAGAAGTTGGAAAAATGTGTACGTCATCAAGAATAACAAGCGAAAGGACGGGTAATGTAGAAGAACTTTTTCGTCAAGCGATATATTTGTATCTGTTTGTTGTGTAATTTTGAAAGCCATGAAACAGGCATGTTATTATAAAAGATTGATAAACCCGACCCAAGGAGATGTAATTTATCTTGTTCAAACTCGAACCGGCGCTGTCGGACAGTATCAGCTGCTGCTACTACTAATGACGACAAAAGTAATTTAGAAACTCAAATTACGTAATGAGAACTTCATGAGTTTTTGTTTCGAGTATGACACAGCAGCTGAAGAAAATTTCAACTTAAAGCGTCTACCCACAAAGCTATACGCCTTTCATATATGCAGCAGGGGAGAGGGGTAAGGCGGGTTGGGTTCAGGTCGACTGTGCGGAGAAACGCGTTAATGAAATTTCTTGAAATGGCACCATGTTCCCCGACCGATGCCTCAGAGGGACTCGAGAAAAGGAATTTCTCAACTCTTGTTCGATTTTCTCAGAACTTCACACTTTATTCAGCACCATATGCAATATAAAGAATGCCATGGGCCACCTTTTCTACATTCTCACATACGAAACTACAAAAAGCATCATGATCGTGACAAATGCCGACATCCTTATTTTTACGGGGAATTTAGTATTTCAGTTTTCTCGTGACAAAAATACGCGATATAAAAATATGGTGCCTTACGTATATATATATATATATATATTTCTTTTTTGCAATTGAGGGGTTTTTGGGAGAATCAACACAAGCCTAACCAAAACTCTTTGAAAATTCAAAAATAAAACCTTTCCAACATCTGAAACAGTAAAGGTTTCTTAATATTTTTATTTTGTATGAATGCACTTACATATGTTGCAACGTAGAAATATAGTTACAGATATGTAGGTAGTTACCTTTTAAATAAATAAGATAAAAATACATGGATATAAGTTGCTTTTGCTTTAAAATACAGCAGTAAAGACAAAACACACATTTTCTCTCTTGACTAATGCAAATTTTGCCGGAAAGGTATTACAATCTTATACGTGCAGGATTAAACTATAAGACTCGACATTGTGCGAAGTTAAAGAAAATCTGCATTTAACAACTAGGTCCATTATTTTGTAGATCCACGAAGATGTACTTGGTGAAAACTAACTATCTTCATGGAACCGAGTCCTTTCTAAAAAGCTTAAAGTCGCTCAGCTGGTCATCAAATATCTCGTGGAACCCCAAGATTCAATACCTCTGCAACAACACCTCACCAATGGCCACTGACCCTTAGGCAGCCAGTCCGAGATAAAACATTATAAAAAAACTGACAACAGAATGCAATGGTACTAGAATCTTCCATAACCGGTCGTATCTCGCAACAAGAAAAGTCCACAGGGCAGAGAAAGAAAGCTCTCAGATTCCATTCGGCACTAAACGCAGACTGAGACACGTGTCGCTGCTGAACAGACCGAACCGGAGAAACATTTCCTCTCTTCCCTTCTTGAAACTTAAAAGCTGTTACGTTCGTCCGGAGTTGGCCCGTGGGTCTCCGTCTGTTAGCCAACAGGAGGCCCAAAACAGAACACCGTATTCTACCGGATGAAGGGACGGCCACTACTTCAAGCTCGGAAATGCTCTCCGCTTGCCATCTTCTTCATCGACATGCATGGCCGCCCTGTCTCTACACGCTCCTGTTCCTGTACAAGAACACTCCCCTTTTTCCTCCCAGGCTCTCTTCCCGTCTGAGGTTTTTGCCTCACTTTGCATCCAACTACAAGAGGATTTAACCAGCAAAACGTATTTGATGTTGCACGGGCAGGCACACACACACACACATAGTTTTAATTTAGGTTTAACGTAAATCTAACACTCCGCCTGTAATCAACATTTGAACTATGAGGCCCTTAACGCAGTCCCAAAGTCAAGAAACCTGACGACCAATTTCCAGGAAACGTAAGATATATTTATGACAATAATTTGTCTGTTGTTTTGTATGGGTGCGAAACATGGTCGCTCACTCAGAGGGAGGAACACAGATTGCAGGTGTTTGAGAACAGGGTGTTGAGGAGGATATTTGGGCCTAGGAGAGAAGACGATGGGGCGTGGAGAAAACTGCATAATGATGAGCTTAAAAATCTGTACCCCTCCCCCAATATTGTCAGGGTGATTAAGTCGAGAAGAATGAGATGGGCTGGGCATGTAGCGCGCATGGATGGGACAAGAGGTGTGTACCGGATACTGGTTGGGAAACCTGAAGGGAAGAGACCGCTGGAGAGACCTAGACGTAGATGGGAGGATAATCTCAGGCGGGATCTATCGGAGATAGGAGTTGAAGGAGACTGGATTTTGTTGGCCCAGGACAGGGTCCGGTGGAGGGCTTTGGTTAATTCGGTGATGAACCTTCGGGTTCGGTAGGCCATAGATAGTTAGTTAGTTGTTTTTCCAGAATGTTGTATCACTCATGACGTCAAGTGGTTTGTAGTCATATACTTTATTCATTCCCAAACGCAGTTTACCAGGAATTAATAATTTTTAATATAATATGCTAGAACAATTTAGAATACGCAACATAAACTGGAAACGAAACTAATTTAAATTTATTATTCAAATAAAAGGAGACCATACTGACTTTTTACTACTTGATTTTCACGACTTTTAGAAAATTCCATAAAATTAATACTAGCTGGAATTTCCAGAAACTAACAAATGTTTATCCGTTATGCCCGTTCAATACAGATACTAATAATGCGAAGTAAATGAATAAAAACTTACCATTCATCGTATGTGTGCCATTCCACCAGATGACACTGGGAACAGGTTTCCCGCCACCTGATTCGCAAGTTAGCGTAAGGTCTTCGCCCTCAGTGAAAGGACCAATTGTTGAAGCATTCTGAAGTTCTGTGCTGTCGTCTTTCGTAATTCGCACATATTCCGGCTTTACTGAAATCAGAAAAAAAAAACCAAAATTAATTTCCGTTCATTATACAACTGCAAATTCTTGTACATAAAATAAGAATGCTTTCCAACCACATAAAACATTCCGACAATAAAAAGAACTCTTCGCACGTGTTATACATTTATACGTCGTCTAACTGTAGCACTCACAGTAAAATTTTATTGTTTTTTTTTTACATTCGAGTGGCACACAGTGTAACATCTTGTTTGTAGACTGTGCAAATCGAAGGAATAAACATGATCTTGTATTGATTTAAATAAAAAAGTAAGATAAAAGGAAAAGAGAAGTATTTTGTTTAAAGTGCAGTAAACATAGGAATGTAAGAATGAACGTTGCAGAATGATCCAGTTTCCGATTCCATATAAATAAGCAGTTACATTATCTTCTGATCGTTACCGACTGAACAGTTTAAAAATGCTATCCTTCTCTAAAATATTAAAACCCGTCGCACGTAATTATTATTTTATTGCTACTGAAGTTCTTTACCATCGCTAAGACTCAAACCAGAAACACAACTGTGTGTGTAAGATAATGCAATGCATAATGGATATCAGATAAAGAAAATTGTATTTTCTTATAACGTTAATCTGAATGAGATACACTAAATATTTCTATTATTTTTACTGCTAATTTACTAAAGGGCTACTCTAGCATACGCGAGAACAGACGATAATAGCTAACAAATTTATTTCAAAAATGTTATTTACTATTTGCTGTCTTTTAAGCTGCGTATTTCTTTCTAATGTCCATCTGTGTGCAACGGGTTTTGTAATCGTATTTTCAGCTGAAGACTATTTGATTTCTTAAGTCATCGAAGACTATAGTACAATGACCACGTATATAAGAGAGCAAATTTAGAAGAAATGATGTACGTAGCGAGAAAAGTAGCATGTTAAAAAAAACGCAGAAAACAAAAGGAAATCGAACAAAAATCATGGAAGGCGAATACCAAAACAGCAACATTTCGGGTAATACTGAGTTTAACGAACCAACAAACCGCAGCATGTATCTAAACCGGCTACTGGAAACTAACTGAGCATTTTAAATTTCAGAACAAGCAATTCCACAAACCCTTTTATTTGGATCAATAAGCAAACGTAGCTTTCAGCACGAAGTGACGAAAAGAATCTCGTTTCTCCAGGGGCAAGTGAGCAACTGCTCTGATAAACATTATTCATACATCAATACACATTAACAAGAACCATAATGCGTCATGCTTTGATGACGAGATTAAAGCAGCTCAGATAGCCCTCAGGGGCAATTTATCCTGCAAATCAATGTCATTTTCTACACACACACACACACGCAGAAATTAATGTGAAATGGATGACAATCCAAACACCGGGTCTCTCATTATACACGCTTTGTTAGCAGTTCTATGGTATGGCATGTTAAGGCTCTCAAGGAGTTACATAATAGCGTGTTTATGGAGTGACTGTCTATGGAACTTGAGGACTGCTGTGCTGTCTGGTAACAGCAGAGCGTTTCTACAGATCGCGTCGTCGCGGTCGCCAAAGGGCACAACTGCAATAATGCAGAGCGGGAATAAAGCCAAATAACAGAAGATCAAACTGCTTAAAGATATTTCGAATTCTCACGTCGACAAGTATGAAGATAGCTGTCTTCCGCTATGTTGCACAATGCAGTCTGGTAGATACAAACGCACGGGATTTTACTGTCATCACCACCCTGATTATGGTGGCAGCGAGAAATACCTCGGAAGACAGCCATATTTATGCAAGTGGGTGGAATGGGGCATGATGATCAGTTAGAGAGGCTAAAATGTTAACTGCTTAGGCTAAATTACGTCTATACATATATTAAGAACGAATGATGCATAATAAATAAACCACCAGAATCATAATTGTTCTACAGCGCATGGAAAATAATGAAAGGCCAAGGCCATAAGTAAAAGTGGATGACTGTCTTGTGGGTTGCAGCGCCGCGTAATGACAGAAGTTTACAGACGCTTCTAAGATCGTTGCCGTCTGAATCGTTTTAAATCAAATTACACAAAGAAATTATACTTTCGGAGGTAGTTTCCTTCGTGCCATTCAGACCTTAGAGTAATGCACTTGCGATATATATAAAACTTTCAAGGTAGCTTACGCTGTGACCCTTTTGACAGTTACTTTCACACACTGTTGTAAATATTCTCATTCATACACTGTTCTAAACAATGTTCAGATTCAGACATTCAAGTAGATGAATGCTTGTATTAAGCTATAGCCAAAACAAGCTTAAGTCTTTAACTTAACTTAACCAAAGTAATAATTTTTACGCCCACGTCAAAACGTGTTATTAAATTCAGCTGCAAGCACAAAGCATAAGGACACGATTCTAAAATAAACCACACAAACACATAAGCACAATAGGAGATGGGCATGATGATGATGATAATGACCTTATGTGTCAAAGATGGGCATGATGATGATAATGACCTTATGTGTCATGTAACTTACATCTACCATCGTCTTAAAGACAGTAAGCAGCGATGCTAATAGACCTACCGAATTGTTTAATTCTTTTATACATCTCTTATACTTTTATTTATGACAAAAGCATGTTTCAGTACATCTACCAAAAAATAATTTAGAAATTTCAAATTAAAATTATCTGTATATTAACAACAAAGAATCGTTAAAATTCGGCAAACTAATCAAAATCAAAGTAATGCAAATTTACTGCACATTCTTCCTCCTGTTTGTTTATAGACGTAGCAGATAATCACTGGTCCAGAGATATGACAACTGAAAGGCAGTAGCTAACTTAAAGCTAGACGTTCCTGAAGGCTACGGATCGCTGCATGCCTTACCTTTTATCAGAAACGAAATAATAAATACGGTATCAGTGAGTCTCGGCGACAAAACCTTCATATTGAGGGGCATTACGATAGTTTTATGGGTTAAATGGGGTTTATGAGGTACAGATGCACAGAAAATATTGATTTACGCTGTTTATATGGATGGAGGGGCCACATATACCACCATGTCGCATATGAGTTAAATAAGAATGTAAAATTTTTTATACGTCATCTCAACAGGCGATAAAGTCGTGATTTTATCTGAGCCTCTCTTAGCATTATCTCATTTTATGCATCCGAAGTTAATGTCCTAGTTAATAAGCTTAATCATACTCATCTATTTATCCTTGAAAACAAACATGTATATGGGTATACATAAGCCAGCATGAGCGTAAATACAATACATTAGTGTTATAATATGTACCAAGACTTAGTGTCACAGTGTCGGACATTTATCCCTTTGACTGTTGGTGATATCACAGTGAATATTTGAATTATCGTTTCTTTGCTATTAGAACAGTGATTTAAAATGGCGGCACATCAATGAGACTTAAAACGTCCTGAGAATGGTGGCACAAATAACAAAGTTATAGCAGTCTGAAATTATTTTGAGACAAAGCGCACGAAAAGATATCGGAACTAAGTCTGATGTCTTGAACGCCAAAAGACATTTAATTTGTGGATGAAAACACTATACAGGTGCTTGTTACGTACATCAAACTTAATGTATGGCGATATAAATCTGATTGTAAATAATAAGCACGCAACAAGTAGCCGAAAACGCATTACAGTACATAAGAGATTTTTGCAATTTCAAAAATGGTGGAATTTGATTTTCTCATAGCGGTAAGCAGATGGCTGTCTTCTAGGCAACAGCCGGGCGGTGCCCTGATGATGGAGGCAGCAAGGACCTCTAAAACGTTGATAAACTTCTACCTGACTGCACGGCGAGACAACCATCTTGAAAACATTTTAAATTACAGATCTGATTTTACTTGGGTAGTCACTCCAGCCTCTGAGCATGGCATGGATTCTGTGGCCGCAAACTTCACTTTCACATAGCAGCGTAGCGGCAGGCAGCAGTGAATGCTGTGGCCACATCGCGGCCAAGCGACCCGGTTCGCGTGTATCGGCTGTTGCTGTCTCTGCTGGTTACACGAGGTCTGACAGGTGCTTTTGGCAGTCGATTCGGACGAGAGATCCTCTCGACAGCACCACTCCGCTTGCACGATATCGACGTAGGTACGAGGAGATTACTGTATAATCTACACTCAGCGTCGATTTTACATGCGTCACTCAAACACGGAAATGTTCGTCCTGTCCTATTAAACAGATGCTTCCTCGGTAACCAGTTCAGTTTCTTTATTGTGCATTCTCCAGCACCGATATATGTGGTAATGGTACGAGTGCACCGCGATGGTCCCACGGTCTAAGACAAGTACAGAGTCTTACTACTCCAAAAACAGATGTGGCATAATAATATGCCCGCGATTTCTTGTGTTTTACTTTCCTGTGTAGATAGAAGCTTTGCAGCGGGCAGATCCTCCATAAAATCTCTACGAAATATATTAGAAGTTATAATTTCAACGTTCGAACATAAGAAGATAACAAGTAGATTGGAAAGACCTTCACATACTGACTGTCGGACTTGAAAAGAATGAAGCTAATGCCGTAAACATTGTTCTAATGCTATCGTAATCAGAATGAAAGTTAATTAAATTAAGGAGACTTGTCGCTTTCATTGAGGTGGCAAGAAACACGAATTAAAAATGTTGCCGATAATGTATTTCTTGGAAGAAAAAGGAACCACGTCTCGTACTTCAGAATTGGAAATTATGGCTTTATACGCCTGTTGTTTTAATACGTTCTGAAACGTTTAATTTTTCCACACTTTCTTCAAAACAATTATTTTGCCAGAAAGCAGACGAGAACTCAGACTGACGTACTTTCAGCGAATAAGATTACACCTGTAACGGCGATAGGAAGATACACGACAGGGATTTTTAATTGGCAAAAGTATCGTCCAAATCGAAGAAACAAATGTTGTGGCCTAAGAGCAACTTTTAAGACACCAAAAACACGTGAAATTCTAGTTAACCTGAGGAGTATTGCTAGGAGTTTCACACAAACGTATGCGTAAAATCTGTTTAAAATATTCGCACATTAATCTGCAACATGAAT